AACTTGTGGAACTTCTTGCCTGAGGAGGTTGTGAAAGCAAGGACTAGAAAAGCGTTTAAAAGAGAACTGGATAAATTCATGGAGGTTAAGTCCATTAATGGCTATTAGCCACGATGGGTAAGGAATGGTGTCCACAGACCTGGGCATAGCATGCAATACAGACATATCCTTTAAGGGCAGATTCTGCTCTCTACTCACAGTATTTCAAGGAACCATTATGCTGTGTTACAGGAAGATGGGTGCCTAGATTGGTTCTGCCTGTAGCAGGAAGGGGAGGGACTGGAAATCACAGCCCTGGTGGCCAGTTTGGCCATAGTTTCTTTTTGTTTCCACCAAGAGCTATATTGATAGCCCTCATCCTCAAAAAAGTCCATCATGAGATGAAACTCCCTACCCCCCCCTTGACTCTCTGGGAGCAGCTACAACCTTCCTTGTTAAGTATTAGGTGTGATGCTGGTCCAGTCTTACCACTGCTGTTTAGGCGGTGGAGACAATCCTGTCTGTTTCTGAAACGTGCAGATATCTGAAATCTTCAAGGCAACTACATGGAGCAATCCACTTGTGTTTGTCAAGCATGGATTGGATTTAGCTGCTAGACTGGATACCAAATTTGAGAGAGTAGTGCTCCAATCTCTATTCAATTGATGTGACTTATTCCCACCTTCCTGAGAAATACTGCTTATCAGCCACCTACAATGGGATCCACACTGACACTTGAAGAGAGAATGGTTAATTAGCCCTAGAGAAACTGCGTTTCTTTGAGAAGTTGTAGTCCATGTGGATCCCTGCCCTGCCCTCCATCTCCACTTTTTGGAGTGCACAGCAGACACAGGTTTCAAACTGCAACTTGAGGGAGTGCTGAGGCTAGTCTTCCCTTTATGTTCCTCACATGGGAGCATGAGGAGGGTCAGGGTGCATGCTGATGGATACTGCTACTTAGAAAAGATTACAAGCTTGTGTGCATGGGGCTATATGCACCTACAATGTAATTCACATTCACTACAACTTCTCAAAGAGCGACAGTTACTGTGGAGTAAATAACCATTTGTTATTGGTGTTTCCTCTCTTCTCTGTTTCCTTCATCTGCTATTCAACTTTACCACTTAGTTCAAAAAAACACTAATGCTTAAATCAGCCTTCCACCTCTCATGTTAAGTCCCTTCCCTCTGCTCCAAATCTTCTTTCCCTTATCCCATCGATAGGTGTCGGGTCACTGTGCAAGCATCAGCCATCTTCGTCTGTCTGAGGTGACACTAAGATTCACCTCCTTCCCATCTGCTTAGATGCAATCCATCCATCGCTTCCTCAGCTTTCTTCAGGGTCTCATTCCTACCACCCTCTTCTTCCATGCTGTCTTTGCCAGGTCTCCTTCCTTCATTCTCTGTATGTATCTGAACCAGCAAAGTCATGGTTCCTGGATTTTATTTACCACATCATGAACTTTGACTTTCATCTTAATACTTTCATTTTGAAATCTATTTGTGTAACGCCTCTTATGGGGCAAAGATGCCTCATCTCAAACACATGAAGGTGTTGAACTACCATCTCTGTATCACTAATGTTTCTGCACCATATAGCATTGCATGCCATTGTTACATACAGTTGGGCTTTTAGTCTCAGTGGCATACACTTGTCCTACGCAATCCCTGATATCATATTTGATGCTCGTTCAGCACTCCCCAGTCTGCACTGTATCTCATGTTCAAACACATGGTCTTCTGTAACCCAACCGCCAAGGTACTTGAACTGGTCAGTCTGATTTAGTCTCATTCCATTAATCACTGTGTCCAGTTTCTTGTAGCATCTCTTCTGACCTAAATGACCTCAGTCTGTCGTGCTCATTTTCGTTCCATGCCTACTCAGCTGATCACACTACTGGTTTAATATTTCCTCTAGGTCATATTTTGAGGATGCCGTTTTTGCTATGTCATCTGCATATAGCAGCTTCTCACCTTTTCCTACTAACATTGTTCATCAATATGATAAACAGCAGCAGACTGAGAGCCAAACCCAGTGCAATCTCACTTTCAAAAGGGTGTGTCATTCCAAACCATGTTCAGATAATTGTTTTGGTGATCTATCTAAGGCATTCACCATAGTTAAGTCCTCAGACTCTCCATCTTTCCTCAGCACTGGTCTGAGAATCCTTCTATGAGCCTTCTTGTATATCTTTCTAGGTCTATAAAAGCCCAGAAGCTATCTTCTTGGTCCCTTAGCCATTTTTCTATTCCTTGCTGAATTAAAAACATTGTCTCTGTGGTTCCTCGTCCTTTCCTAAAGCTGATCTGCTGTTCTTTGAGGTGGGGTTCCATTATTCTCCTAATCCTATAATCTCTAAGATGTGTTCCAGTAACTTCAGCCCTGCGACAATAGCTTTATCCCTTGATAGTTTCCACATTCCTGGATGCTTCCTTTCTTATCTGTTGGGACCAAGAGAGACTTGCACCAGTCTTCGTGAATTCTCTTGTCTTGCCATACGGCTTTAACCCGTGGGGTCCCCAAACTGTGGTGCACGCCCACAAGGGGGATGTGGAGGAACGTTTTTTTGGGGGGGGGGTGCAGCAGGCACCGGGCCAGCCCCCACAGGGGGCGGGGAGGGAGCACCACCCAGCCCCACTCTGTTCTGGCCCCAATCCCACCCCCAGCCAAGGCCCCGGCTTCCACTCTCGGGCGCAGTCCCGTCTTCGGCCTCCAGTCCCATTCCTGACCCCAGCTCCCAGGGGAGGGGGGGGTGCAGACAGATTACATTACGGGTAAGGGGGGGTGCGACATAGAAAGTTTGGGGATCACTGCTTTAACCACTCTGCTGGTCCATCTTATGCCTTTCTCACTCCCAAACTTCCACGAGGTCTGCCGTCACTTCATCAGGTCCCGCTGCCTTTGTTCTCTGGACTGCATTTGTCATCTCTTCCTCTGTTATGTCATGACCCCACATTAAGGTCACATGTTGGCAACACCACCCTAATGAGGATTACTTTAAGAGACTCTAAAAGTATTGTCTGGCTACACTGGAAGAAGGATAGGAAACACTGGATGTGGTTTAATTAGGCCACAATTTTATTCTTAAATTTCTGGGAGTACCCAGTGGATAAAAGTGTACAGTGCAGGTAATTCCATAATCATTTCAATGTATACACAGAAGTTTTCATCAGTCCTCTCATTTACCGATCTTGGTCCCCGGCCAACGTGTTGCTGACACTTCACCATCTCCCTCCCTTCCCCCCTCTCCCCCCCGGTCGAATGAGGATTAAGGGGAGGCTATGGGGGGGGGGGGGACTGATGCAGCAGGTAGACATAAGAGCCCCAACTCCCCGCCCCCATTTCTACTCCTTTAAGGAATACCTCCTTTAAATCCTTTACCAATCCATGTAATGTGATCACTGTATCCCTTCCCTATGGAGTACCTGCACTGGACATCCACCCCACATTTACATAATGAGTTGCGGCATCATAGCCTAACTCCAGTTTCATGTTTGCCCAACTAAGCCCCTCAACCTAACCTGCTGTGGGGAAGGCGAAAAAAAAACCCACCTTCGCCTTGGCCAATCTGGCACTAAGGGTAAAAATCCCTTTACAGCCTTCCCCCCTCCCCCTCCACAAAAAGAAAGGAGCGACTAGTGCAATGCCCATAGCAGATCCTGACAAACCCAGTGTAACACCACTCCCGAGGGTGGGTGCTGCTCCACCTGGTCCAGGTGAAAGAGGGCTTTTCCTGCAACGGCATGTATTGCAGGGGGGAGGACCTGTAGCTGCCATCAAAAGTAGCTCTGTGGTGCTCTAGCCCTTAAAGTGGCACACACTTTTTCCAACAAGCCAGACAATGGACCCCACCACTTAATGAGATTATTTTAATTTCTCTGGCACTTGTTTACTAGTACTCTCCCCAATCATTTACAAGTGACGTTATAATACTTTCCTTTTGTGTCTCATTTTTGCAGTGCTGTAGATATTTTTGCCAGCCAACTATGGGTAGTGTACAAACTTTCTTCTAAATCCATCCTTTAAAATGCACATATTTTGTGATACATTTCTAGTGATCTCCAAAATTTCTATGCATTCTTGTATTTGTACTGTTGTCTTGTATTTGTCCAAGTAAGATTATAAGCTTTTTGAGACTGGAGCACTGTCTCCCTTTAAAATAAATAAATAAATAAAAATAGTGCAATAATTGTTGGCTCTCCAGAAAAATGTGAATATGTGAGGTCTGAAAAAAGAGTACTTTAGATGGGCATTCCATGTCTTCATATCTAATATGTGGTGAGGAAACAAAACATAGACTTGTATTTATGTAATTTTTTTCTTCACCAGTTGTACTAACTCAGTGTAAATTTAAAGTAACCTTCTGGAGGTACTTTTTAAGGAGAAAAAATAATTTCCTTTGCTAAACGAAACTACCTTACAATTTCAGCAAGGCTATGAATATACAGTAAGTGAAATGCAGATGGAGTGGAATTGAGTTATTTAAACTACATTTTAAAAAATACTGTTAAAATAACATTGTTTCCAAAGTAGAGCACTCACAAATCCAGGAAATCCCAGGTGGAGAGCAGGAAGGTATCTCTGAGGAAAATTTACTTCTCCAAATGGAAAATTTCTTAATATGGGCTATGGTGATTTTTATTATTATTACAAAAGGTTTTTCTTCCTTTATTCCTTAATAACAATAAGCATTCAAGGTTAGCTTTCCTGTGTTGCGGAACAACGTGGGAGCTGGAGGCAGACTGGGTAGTGGTCAGGGAAAGACTTTTCAAGATTAGGCAGCTGTTTAGAAATTGTCTAGTTAATAGTTTTTCTCCTGTTGCATATAAACTTGCAAAATCATCTCAGAACATCTGTTTTTCATCTAAAGGCACATCTTTCGTCTTAACAAAACTAAGTTTGTGCTTTGTTTTGATAAAAATTCTTTCAGTGGAAAACAGTATTCTTTAAATTATTTAGCTTTTTTTCCTTAAGTGTAAATCTACAATATTTATTTACTCATCTTCCCTTTGGTTTTCCAGGCTCCCATCCCAAAAAGTGTAATTGTTCCTGTTATACCCATAACCAAATCGACAGGATCACGTTTCCGGAACAGCATAGAGGGGCTGAATCAGGAGATTGAGATAATAATTAAGGAGACAGGAGGCAAGGAAGAACAGCTGATTGTAAGTATCTACTGCCCCCAAAAAACTGTTTTTCAAAATAAGCTTTTTTTTTTTAAGAGAATTTTTCTTTTCACATTGATGACTTACTGTACAAACTTGGTAATGTAAATTTGCACATGATTAACTTGTCTTCTACTACTGAAGCAGAATAAAAAATTTCCTAATGATTAACTGTCTTCTACGACCACATGAATAGAAAATAACTTCCTTTAAATCTTTTGCTGTTCTCTTCATGTTTACAATGTTTACACTGATGCATTTATGCCATAAATAATCAACAGAAAAAGGAACAATTCTCTAAAACTTATTTTGGTGAGAATTGCTTTAGTCATTTTTATAGCGTTTGTTTACTTCTTTCTCCTCTCCCCCCCCCCGCGCCCCCCCCCACCCAAAAAAACCCAGGAAAATTCTTGCCTATTTTGCATCAGAATTCATGGTTGTCCTTTTTTATAAGTGACTTTCAGAAGTAACTATTTCACACACCGAAGCCCAACCCCAAAAAGGAACCACTGGTGTTTTTATATTAAATTGTTACTCTTCAGTGATTGCCTAGCTATGTTTTCATATGACTGTTTGTTGCCTTTTGGAAAACACTGTCCTCATGGCTTTCTTTAAGTGTATTGTTCTTCAAGGAATTTCCTACTCTCCTGAAGTCTGACCTATCCTATCATCTGTTGGAGTCTGTGTAGTACAATAATTCATCTTCCTCAGAATAGACTTCTGTTATGTAGTGGACCGGGTATAAGAAACTTCTTAAGCTGTAAAGTAATCCCTTTCCTGATGAGATGGGCAGCTTCACACACATGAAAAAGTATGATTTTTTTTTTTTTGGTAACAGCCGCAAGATATTCCAGATGGGCACCGTGCTCCCCCTCCGCTGGCGCAGCGCAGTAGCAGTACTCGCAACATGGATACCCAAACACCCGGTGGAGCAGACAGAGGCAGTAACAACAGCAGCCGTTCCCAGTCTGTGTCCCCCACCTCGTTTCTTACTATCTCAAATGAGGGCAGTGAGGAGAGCCCTTGCTCTGCTGATGACCTTCTTGCTGACTCCAGAGATAAAGGTACTACATAAATGGGCTCTACTGTTATGCTGCTCTTACAATTTAAGAAAGAGTTGCACTATTCAGCACTTGGTCTTAGTATTTATTTCATTCTTTTTTAATAACAGGTAGCCACCCATATTCAATGATGGATTTTCCTCATTCACTGTTCTACCCCAAGATGTATACTAGGAGAAGGAGTTTTCACCTCCCTAGTACAGTGATAGAAAGTTAACTTTTCTTTTTCTTCTAGGCAATCTTATTTTCCCAATTCCTCCATGTGTGAAGATACCTTGTGTGCATGTGCGCTCTTTTACACCTATCAGAGTTTGGTAATTGAGAGGGGGAAATTCTGATCAGAAACTGCTGCTTTAGCTAGATTTTAGAGAATGCAAGGACAATGCATACTATATTTCTCTTTTTTTTCTGTTTGAGACTGTGAGCTCCAACTCTGCAGACCATGAGGTGCATGTTGCCATAGCTGCTACCAAACAAGCCATAAGGGTAACTTACTGCAGGCTTTCTGGGGTGTGCGGGTGTGTGCGCGCGCATGTTGTTTTGTTTTTGTTCTTTCTTTTTTCTTTTAAAAAAAAAAAAAAGAGAGCGAGAGACTTGTAAACTTCCTTACAAATATATTTTGGACATATGTAAGTGATGTCTACATGCTATTTGGAGCATAAGGCTTATCGGACATACACTGACGTCAATAAAAAGACTCCTGTTGACTTCAATGTACGTTGGATCAGACCCACTGTGTGATTATTTAGTTATAGGTTTCCTGTTATCAGAACCCAAAGCTATTGCACATAATGCATAATTAATTTGTGAAACTCATTGTCATGGGATGTTGTGATGGCCAAAATATAATTGGGTTCAGAAAAGAACTAGGTAAGTTTATGGAAGATAAATTCATCAATGGCTGTTAGCCAAGATGATCAGGGATGTAATGCCATACTTGGCGTGACCCTAAATTTCCAAAATTGCCTGTTCTGTACACTATCCCTGAAGTTCTGGTACCAGCCACTGTCTGAGACAGGATACTGGATTAGATAGACCATTGGTCTGACTCGGTACGGCCATTCTTATGTACTACACACACATTTCTAAAAAATTGCCAGAGCACTCGGATGATTTGTGTTCATAAATGGTGAAGAAAAGACAGCCTATGGACAACAGTGAAAAACACTACCCAAACTCCTCTAAACATTTAATAAACCAGTGACTGATAAACATCAAGATGGAAGTAGTATAAATGGAACTTGCCATGGAACCTGTCAGTTTACCGACTTTTTGAAATTAGCCCATTATATAAGGTTACTTTTTGATGGCAACATCATGACAAATATTTTCATAAATTCTGTAGTAGGTTTAGCGACTTATGTTTTGATATGTCTTTATCTGAGACTGAAAATGAATGCTTACAAAAGCCTTACTTAAATTAACTCACTGACAGGGGTTTCTGTAGCCCATTCCTTTTTTCTTCTGTTTTATAGACTGAGAATAAAAGCATAGGGTTCCTTTACTTATAAGGAAAATGCCATCTTAACATGGGAATTTGTCTCTGTTCTAGTTATACCTTAAAATAAATCCCAGGAGAACGTGCTATTAATAGCCATTTTATCATATCCTATCATATAAAACATGACCTTTAATGGGAGAATTGCACATTGTTGAATATTCTGTATGTTTAAACCGCCAATTAGAAAGTAGTGAATGCCTAATAGTAGAAAAACACACTTGCCTGTTACATGCACCCCCTAGCATTCTGTGCATCTTATTTGCTATATTTAATTTTTCTTTGATTACTAGGAACATTTAGATGGTAACAGTAAAAGGATTTTTGTTTAATAAGGGTTCATCTCTTGCTGCTGCTTAGTCTTCACTCGAAGACTCTGTTTGTATCTCTAGGGTAACTAATTGTGATGGCCTAATCAGACAGACCTGCTATATCAGGCCAACATGTGCTATCTCCCATTGATTTTGCAAGATGAATAAAACAGCATACTTGAATTCTTAATAAGCAAAGGTCTCGTTTTTATAAAGATGTTACTAGTAATTACAAATTATAAAGCTTACTGTCTAGAATATTTTCATAATTTTTTTCCAAAGGTTACTGGATTTTTAATACTGTGCTTATTAAAGTATCTTATCACTAGCTAAAGGTTTGCTATCATTGGGCTTATGAAAGATTTTATTTAGTAGAATTGAGTTCTGCTTATAATAAAATAAAAGATAAACCTTTAAAAAGAGGGGGAAATTACTCTTTTTTTTTTTTTTTTTTTTTTTTTCCTTCCCTTTTATCTGTAAATTACCTGGCAAGAGATTCTGGTAACTAGGTGCTATATAAACATTACACTAACTAAAATTGAATTTCGGGTAAGGCATCTTAACAGATATTAACCTAAACTTTCAAAAGTGACTAGTGATTTTAGGGTACGTCAATTTTACGTTCCCCAACTTGAAACACCTATAAGGGACCTTGCCTCCCCCCACCCTCCTTACAGGGAAAGTGCTTAGCACTTTCTGAATATCAGACTCCTTTAAAGTGGTCCATGTTGGGCAACCAAAAATTGAGGCACCCCAAATCAAGTCACTTTTAGAAAGTATAGACCTGTTAAAATAGCCACTCTTCCAAAACTCGGCCAATTATACATTATTTTGCTTATTCAGCAACAGGAAGTAGGAGATGCAATGTAGTTCAGTAGATGCTTTATTGGAGCAATCAGAATACCAGAATACCTCTTGCTGGCTCCACCGTTGACTCATTATGTGATGTTGGGCAAGTCACCTAACCTTTTTCCTAATGTGTAAAAATGGGGCTGCTAACAATTATCCAGCTTTAAAAAACATTTTGAGATCGGCAGATGAAAAATGTGATTAAAGACAGCACAGCCTTGAAAAATCTGAATCTGTTGGGGACAATTTCCTAGAACTGCTTGACTAAAGGAGGACTGGATGAAAGGCATGAATCCACATGCTCCATTTTCCCTCTTGCTTTTAATTTCCTTAATCTTTTTTTCTTTAATTTTTTGTTGTTTTTGATATGTGCCACAAAAATCTGTGTGTTGGAAATATTGCAGTTAACATATGGCAATCCAAAAGTTGTGTAAATATTTTGGTTTTGTTTTGGATCTATAGTATTTGTTCTGTATGTTGACAATCTAGAATTTGTTTTGTTTGTTATAAAGAAAAAGATTGAAAAAATTGTATAAATAGTGTTAAAAAAGAAAAGTGTGATTAAAAAGTTTTAACACAATTCAGCAGCAACCTGTCCTGATTTAAGGTGCATTGCTGATAGACCTCAAATGAGACCTGTCCGGTCATCTTGGCTGGATAGGTTGTGATTAAGATTCAGATGAGGGATTGTAAAATTGGGATGCTGTGGAACATATGCAGGGGTCTCAAAAGAATATAAAGGAGTTGTGGGAGGGAGGAGGTTGAGAGTTGTGATATATGAAGGAGTCCATCTACAGGTGGAGGAGAAAAATGTTCCAAAGAACATGGGTAACGGGGAATGGGAAAACTCTTGATTTAACTTTGTAATGTTGGTAATGAAGTCAGTCTGGATTTGTTTGTCTTTCTTTTAAAATAAGTGGGTTCATTTAAATATTTTGGTATATTTGAGTAATTTGATATTCTTTTCCCACAGAGAATGGGAACAACTCTCCCTTGCCCAAATATGCTACCTCGCCAAAACCCAACAACAGCTACATGTTCAAGCGTGAACCTCCTGAGGGCTGCGAGAAGGTGAAAGTCTTTGAGGAAAGTTTGTAAGTAGTTCTTCAGTTCATAAGAAATATAACATTTATCATTCAGGCTGATCTGACATCAGTTAATTTAGTTCAGTGTCTGACACAGAAACTGCTCCTCAAACAGTCTCTTTACTACTACTACTACTACTACTACTACTGTTAACTTTACTACTTCTACAAGGGCCTCTTTGTAGTCCCATTTGTAGAACATGGTGCTCCTGGCATCGAGCTATGGAATTGTCTTGAAAAGCTGTGTATGTTGGAGGTGGTGCATGAGAGATCATCCTGCCCCATCCCCTTCACTTTCTTCGCTGCAAATGGAATTTGCCTTTGTGTCTGCGGGCTAGTTCTTCCCTTACTCTAGGTGCTTATTCTCTTTTATAGTAGGTTAGTATAGAGTAGCAGGGGATAGTGCTGCATACATTGCCTGCCCTTACCAAGGGAGTCTTTGACTCTCATTGGGACCATGTGAGGCCCTTAGCCCTCTAAGGGCTTCAAGAGTTGCCCCCTCTTGCCAGTCATTCATACCGGAGACTGATCTCCATATTCAGTGCCTTTTGTGTCTGATGGAGATATTCTGGTGTGAGGTTTGCTATGATTTGCACCCCACACTAGAAGGGAGAGACACTTGTGGCTCCAGATTCATATGACTTCTCAGTGCCTAAAGCCTAATCCTCCAGTATCAGTGGTACTGAGACAACCCTCTGTGCTTAAGTCCTCTTACACAGATACCAAGATGTACTGTACTGCTCCAGTCTCAGCACTGCCTTTTTCTGTGGGCTCGAGGTTGGGATTTCCTTGCCCTTCTACTGGTGAGAAACCCTCACCCAGCACTCCTTGGTGCTGCTGGCACTAGCTAAATCAAAAGATACACTAAAGAAATACTTTTCAAATCACCTCATACAAGTACTATAGTGCAATCTCTTAATTGTGAAAGTACAACTTACAAATAGAGAATTATTTTTAGATAACTACACTCAAAAATAAAAATAATTTAAAACTTTAGAGCCAACAAGTCCACTCAGTCCTACTTCTTGTTCAGCCAGTCGCTAAGACAGACAAGTTTGTTTACATTTACAGGAGATACTGCTGCCTGCTTCTTATTTACAATGTAATCTGAAAGTGAGAACTGGCATTCGCATGGCACTGTTGTAGCCAGAGTTGCAAAGTATTTACATGCCAGATATACTAAACATTTGTATGCCCCTTCATGCTTCGACCACCAGTCCAGAGGACATGCTTCTGTGCTGATGATGGGTTCTACTCGATAACAATCCAGAGCAGTGCGGACTGATGCACGTTCATTTTCATCATGCGAGTCAGATGCCATCAACAGAAGGTTGACTTCTTTTTTTTTATTGGTTCGGGTTCTGCAGTTTCCAAATCAGAGTGTTGCTCTTTTAAGACTTCTGATGGCATGTTCCACACCTCGTCCCTCTCGGATTTTTGAAGGCACTTCAGATTCTTAAACTTTGGGTTGAGTGCTGTAGCTATCTTTAGAAATCTTATACTGGTACCTTCATTGCATTTTGTCAAATCTGCAATTAAAGTGTTCTTAAATCGAACAACACATGCTGGGTCATCATCAGAGACTGCCATAACACGACATATATGGCAGAATGTGGGTTAAACCATGGACAAGGAGACACAATTCTCCCCTAAGGAGTTCAGTCACCAATGTAATTAATGCATTATTTTTTTTAATAAGAGTCATCAGCATGAAAGCATGTCTTCTGGAATGGTGGTCAAAGTATGAAGGGGTTTTATTAATCAGGAATTAATTTTTTTAATCAAGTTAATTTGTTTTGAGTTAATTGTGTGAGTTAACTACAATTAATTGACAACCCTAATTTATATACTCTAAATATATCACTGTAACAGGGTGGCTTGCCCCTTTAAGGGCTAGAGGCCTGGGGCCAGCCAACCCTAATTATAAAATAGGAACACCTGAGTAGGATCAGGTGATTCCCCTACAAGAGCAGCAGGAAGCTGCAGAGAGAGGGAGAGAAACTAAGTAAAGGACAACCAAAGGAAGCTGTGGCAGAGACTTCAGAAGAGCTGCTGTGAGCAGGAGTTATACATGTCCTGTACAAGACCCTTGACCAGGGAAAGGTTTGAGCCTGAAAGCCAGAGGGCAAAAGAAGGCTGAGGGCTAGGGAGAGCAGACTCAGGGGAGAAGAGAACCCCGAGGACTAAGATTTTGTGTTTTATGCCATTAAATTAGACCTTGAGAGAAGGGGTGGTATTGTACAAAAAAAGCCTGTGTGGTATTTATTTCAGGAACCATTAGATTCAGAAGGGTAAAAAGGAGGAAGGGCTCCTGCAGATCCATGCTGGTCACTGGAGGCGCTACAGGGCGGAGGTTAAATTCCTTCCTGACATTACTTCATTGACTTCAGTGGAGTTACACCAGAAGTGAATTTGGATCACTTTTCTCTTTTACTCTTAGTGTAGTTTCCTTAGCCCTGATTAATTGACACCTAATTATAAAATGTCTTTTCATTAGGTACTTTCCTGTAATTTACAAATGTCTTAGGTCTCAGAAGGAAATGTGCAGAGAGACTGTGCAGCTGCTATTTTTTATTTTCACTGAGAGTTTTAGGAATTGTTTAGATATCAACCCTCGAGTGCTAGCAGTCATAATGTATCTTCCTGTCCTATTGCAAGCCATGGAATGCATGCTGGGAAATTCATATTCTTCAAGTAGATGCAGCTGTGTATTTCACATAAGTATGTGGGTGTGCCCAGCAGTCTGGAGCTGGAGAAATTTGCCTAGCAGTACCCATAGAGGGGCAGGGCTCATGCCTTGTGGTCATGGCCCCTCTCCTGGCTACATGAGGTGATGCTGCCCCAACCCTCCCTTGGTTCCTTCTTACCACCCATGGCTGGAGTCGGAGCTCTGTGTGGTCTCAACCTAACAACCTTTCAACTAACTTAGTTTTTTCTCTTGTTATATATACTAGTGTTAGTTATAGTAGTTTGTTTCCCTTGGTGATGTCCTCACCGGGTTTTAAACATTTGTCATTTGTGTGGGGGAGCGATCCCCTCACATAGTGCTTGCTCTATCTCAGCAAGGCCCACATCAAAGAGTGTTGCTGTTGCATGATTTGCAGGTAATTTAAGAAACGGACTCAAGTGGCTCAGGACTTTGGCCTGAAGCAGCACCTGCTAGAACAGGCCATGTGGCCTGCTTCAGTATCCAGGCCCTCCTTGGGCCGGAGATCACCCTCGGGCTCCGAGAGTGCGGCTGCTTCACATTCTGGAGCAGGGACCTCCGATGAGGGAGAGGTCGGTACCAACTGTTTCCACATCAGTGGCATACCAGGCAGCTACAGGCCTCCTCTGCCTTTTGGTCCCGATCTCTCCTTTGGTGCAGGACTTTGCCAGGGCTGCATGAACTATAGCCCCATCAATCGAATGAGCCACTGAACCTTTGGGTCTGTCGTCCTGGAGTGGTACGGGGGACCTAGATACTGATAACCTCCTCTGCACCACTGCAGCTGGTGCACCGCAAATGCTTCCATGGCAGCTTTCACCACCCTCCATGTCAGTACCCTCAGATGCTCCGGTACTGCTTTTCAATTCAGGACTGACACTGCTTCCGACACCGGCATGATCAGCACCACATCCATCGGCAGCACCGCTTCCTGCCTCGTTCTGGGCGATGGACGAGGTCAGACTGACTGCTTGCTCCCTCTGGTCTTGCTCTGCCCTTATCACTGGGATCCTGAGGCTCCTCTGCATCTGAATCAGGGTCGTCATCCTCCTGCTCTCCACCACCTGACCAGCATCAGGGGGCTTTGCTGGACCATTACAGGTACCAGGATTGGCGCACGTCTCATGGTTGGGACGGAGGTGCCTGGCCCGGGTGCCTACTGGTCAGCAATGCCTTATCCATGTCTGTGGCCTCCATGGAATCCATGGGATGCTCCTCGGTCGTGGAGGTCCCACTTTTCATCTCCTGGAGGGTGAGATCACTGCCCAGGTCTGCAATGGAGACTATCAAACCACTGCAGGCACAAGCACCAGTAGTCCTCCTCCCTGCAGAGCCTCCAGAATTGTCCCCTCTGGGCCCGTCAGCCCTGGAATAGGATCCGGCTTTGCCTCAGTGAAGGGCCTTGTCTTCCTCTCCGGACGATGCTGTGCTGCCTGACTCATCCTTCCCTTCAGTACCGGAGGATTTTAAGGCATACCAAGACCTGTTGCAGCATGTACCTGCTTCCCTCAGTATCCAGGTGGAGTTCTTGCAAGAGAAGACTCACAAATTGGTGGACATCCTACAGCTGTCTGCCCTGAGAGTCTCCCTCCCTATCAGTGATGGGCTGCTTGAACCGGCTACGGCTCTCTGGTGCACGTCGCCTGTGGCTAAGTGCATGGAAAAGCACTATTTCATTCCTGTGCAGGGATTTGAGGGATTTTGCTCCAATCTGGCACCAAATTCTTTAGTTGTAACTGCAGTGAACGACAGAACTCGGCAGGGAAGGTTTAAGTCCACCCCCAAGGATAGGGTTTCTAAATGATTGGACCTCATGGCAGGGCCGGCTCCAGGCACCAGACGAGAAAGCACGTGCCTGGGGCAGCACATTGTAAGGGGCGGCATTCCGGCCAATCTTGGGGCGGCCAGCCCAGCCCTGAAGGGGCACGGATCCCAACCCTGGGGGGGCAGGAACTAGTGATCCCCGCTGCTCATCGTGCCGCCGGGCTCCCCGGGACGTGCCACTCCCCGCCGCCTGCACCGGCCTCTGCCTCCCGCGCCGCTCTGAGCCCGGCCCGGCCGAGCCGCCTTTAAAGGAGCGGCTGAGCCAGCACCTCCTGCAGCCCCCGGGCACTGGAAGGAGGGAGGGTTCTGCGGCGGCCCGGCGGGCAGCGGAGGCAGGGAGGGAGGGTTCTGCAGTGGCCCGGCGGGCAGCGGAGGGGCGGGCCCCACTGATCCCGGCGCCGTTTGCACTGTGCCGAGCCCTGCTGCAATGCCGGCCCCACACGGAGGTCGCAGACCCCAGTCAGCGCTGCCTGTGTCG